GCTGGCAGTTGTGGGGCTGTGGGAAGAGACGAAGTCTGAGGTTTCTCATTCATCAACCCACATAAAACGGAAACGTTACCGCAAGAGAAATAGTAGCACAGAACTTTCACGTACTTACCAGGCCTTGACTACATTACCATGGAGACAAAACCGATTGTTGCTCAGTCGATAGTTGCGGGTCGCTGATTACCGAACAACACTGGCATCCGTAGGACGGGTAAAACCGCTTTCGACCAATCGATACTTAATATTTGTGCCACAGTGCGCATGGTTTCTGAAATGCCATCTGTCTGTCTGTGTATATATATATATATATATGTGTGTGTGTGTGTGTGTGTGTGTGTGACCGTGCCATAGTTCCAGTTGTTAGTCGCCGGCTTGTCACCGCAGCGTCCCGGGTTCGAACCCGGGTCAAGAAGTGTGGATTTGTGGTGGACAAAGTGACACTGGGGCAGGTTTCCTCCGAGTACTTCGGTTTCCCCTGCCAATTCTCATTCCACTGACTGCTCCACACTCATCATCTATCATCCGGGGCTGGTACACTAGGCCAATTAGTGGCCGCCGTACCAAGTGGACTCAGTCTCACCCCACGCCAAGAAACTAAAAAAAAAAACTATGTGTATGTATGTATTTGAACCCCTCTCTGTATTTTATGGAGCGCATGTCCCTAGATAAAATTACATAGGTGGTAAAAGGTAAAAAGTTAAGCTTTTCCCCTGTTCTTTACTAATTAAGGACTACACCATGAAGGCGTATGGGGGAGTGGATGTATAGATCCACGTTTTCTTGATCTGGGCACTATCTTGAAGCGAATTGTCAGCTTCACTCCCCGGCCGCTTTACCCCCGGGAAAATATACCCATTGAATAGGAAGTTGGGTGGGCCCCAAAGCCGGTCTGGACGCCTTGGAGGAGAGAAAATTCTTGTCCCTACCGGGACTCGAACTCCGACCCCTCGGTCGTCCAGCCTGTAACCGGTCGCTATACCAACTGCGCTATCCCGGCTCGTATTACATAGGTAGTATCTTGAGGAAAATAGCGGAACGCATACTAGCGGACAAAACACGTGCACGTGCGCAAGAACGGAATATTTCGGTGCCGAAGTTCAATAGCACGCGGTTCTTGACAGTTCTTCGATCTGGTGGGCAGAAACACAATTACCAAGACAAGTCACTCAGGTTTGCTCTTGTCGTGACCTACTCTGATAAGATATTTGTATGCCACCTGGTCAAGCTTGGCTAAGAGTTCCCTGAAACACTGATTACTGCTGATAGCTCGTAAGGAAAACCTGGGACTTTAGAATTCTTACGCTGGACACACACAAATATACATATTCTACTAACTCCACAGAACTTAGGCCTTCTTGTGAAGCCGACAGTTGCTCATCTGGCAGAGAAATTCCTTACTTTTCATGGTAGCCAATTGTTCATTTCCGTGTTCACAAACACCCTCCAGTGTTCCGTATCCTGAGCCAGATTAATCCAGTCCACTCCGTCCCACTCTGTTTCTGTAAGATTCATCCTACCATCTACGTTTAGGTCTCCCGAGTGGCCTCTACTCTTCTTTATTTTCAGATAAAAATTTTATATTCATTTTACAACTTTTCCTTTCGTGCTACATGCCCTAGTCACCTCGTTCTCATTGATGTGATGATCCTAGTAAGGCTGATGAAGAGTATAAGTTATGAAGACCGTCATTATGCAGTTTTCTCCAACCTCCTGCCACTTACTCCCGCCGCTTATACTCAAATATTCGCCTCACTACCCTGTTCCCAAGCACCCTCAGGTGTGTTCTCCGTTTAGGGCTCTGAGAGACAGGAGTGATACTGTGCTGCCTGTTCAGGGGGCTCTGAGAGATGAACATGAAGCAATGGTGGAATAATTATTAGGATGGGAAACCCGAAGAATGTCTGAGAGAAAATAAAACATGCTCCGTTTCCACTCACTCACTCGGAGCTGAGCCCTTCTTGAGAAGCCGCCAGTTTTGCAGCATTTTATGGAACCCGAAGGTTCATTGCCGTGTTCACAAGAGCCCTCCACTGGTCTCCATTGCCACTTCGTCCACCAAAATGTCCCACAGTAAGTGACACGATTCATTTACGCCGCGCCATAGCTCAAGCGGTTAGTCGCTGGCTTCCCACCGTGGCGGCCCGGTTTCGATCCCGGGTCTGGTCAAGTGGGATTTGTGGTGGACAAAGTGGTGCTGGGGCAGGTTTTCTCCGAGTACTTCGGTTTCCCCTTCCAATCTTCATTCCACCAATTGCTCCACAATCACCCTCACCTATCATCTGGGGCTGGTACAATAGGCCAGAAGTGGCCGTAGTACAGGGGACTTAGTCCCACCCCACTGGCAGTAAAAAAAAGTGACACGATAATGAACCCGGGTCTCCGCGGTTAGATCCCAACGTCTAACTCCCTTAACTATGGGGCTCTTTAAAGCAGACATACAGGTATTATATACTTGTCTGTGAAGATTATGCAGCATGCAAACTTGTATTTATTGCTACCCATAAAACAAAAAACTTTATTGCTATCCTGTGGACCTACCTTGACATGAACTGATAAAAGCTTTGTATAGTCTGTCCATTTATACCTGGCCACTCACAACAGAATGCGCAGTGGACTTGGTCTAGTCGACTCACTGAGATAAGGGTTGTGGAGTGCGCATGCGTTATAGCAGGGCCTTAGGTACATTTTTTCAACCTCCTTCCATCCAACAAAGCAGTTGCAACCACTGCCTCGCTACTTCTTACGCGCAACCCAGAAGCCAAGTGTAAAAGTTCGTTATGTACAGTCTTTAATCTGAACTTCCGAAATTAATTTATATTTATGATGTACATTCGCATTATCTTAATTGCGGATTAAGCTGGAACCAGTAGGTTTATGATTGTTTTATTTGTAATATTATTACAACTGTTTCAATGAGCGATAACTCAGCTGGGCGACCAGGATTCGATTCACGGCAAGAGCAGAGATCTGTTCTCCGCCGCATCCACATGAGCCCTGGGGCCCATCCAGCATCCAATCCAATGGATTTTCAGTGATCTCTTTCCTGGGATAAAAAGGCTTGAAGACAACTGAATACGTGAAACCATAGCATCCCTTCCCCTCTAGTCTTTCTGATGTGGTGCTTGAAGCACAGAAGTAACCTTCCTCAACAAAATTATGTATACATCATTTGTTTCCCCATAGCATCCTGCAGCTTACTTCCATAACAAAACTAGGTTGAAGACTTAATTTTCTGTTATGATCACTTGATTTTATCTACAGGGTGATTCTGAATAATGTTAACACATTGCGAAGATGTGTGTAAGTGAATACAGCAACTCTCAGCTAAACACATTCTTGTGTTGTCACTGTGTGACACTCTTTGTTGATGCGAAGGGAGCTAGGATTCAATAAAGAGAAATAAGTAAATTATACAGCGCCAGATGATAGATGAATTGGAATAGCTTTCGAAATGAGTGATCGCGGTCAAATCTAGAGCATATCCCGGAATATTCTGGGGGAGAGACTGAAGAAAACCACAAGAAATTTCGGGATAGTCGATGTCCCGTTGATGGTTCGAACCGAGCACCTCCAAAATATGAGTTTAGAGCGTTACCATTTGGAGTCCTGATTGAAACATTATTCTGGAACGCCCTGTATATTTATGTATAGATGGTCTGGGTACAATCAGAAGTGTAATTGGTGTTACCCCGTCACATGAGGGATTTGTGCACGGGACAGGGTTTGTTTGTTTGTTGGTTGGTGGCGCAAACTGCTAAGGGTTAAACAAACCACGTCAAGAGAAGAATTTTTATGAATGTGGAGAGGCCCAGGGTTTCCGTCGTTAAAATATTCCTTTCGTTCTGATTAATGAATTCTGTGACAGTTTTGAGAAAGTGATTTTCCATGTTTGTTCTTATCTTTTCTCTTTAGACTGTCTTCTTCAGTTTCGAAATACGAACGAAGAACAAAGGAACATGCAGTTGTCTGCTTTGTTTTGTCGCGTTCTGGTGACGGTTAAGGAAACATTTGTTCTGCTTATCTTGCAGCATCCGTTTGGTACTCTAATGCGATTCTTGAAAGAAGGTTATATCCCGGATAAGCAGTTCACAAGGTTATCCCCTACCATTTTACATACAGTCAGGGTCGAGTTTGCAGTTGTGAGGGCCCCTATCAGTCGCAACAAATTTATGTTATTATAATTTTGTCTTCCCCCTCATTTCTTATTTTAACTAATAATACGAGGTGACCTTTTTTGATTTTATAGAAACAGATACCTGAGTAAAACCTGTGGATTCCGTTTTTGCTTTATGGAGGCCCCAGGGAGACACATCAATTCGCCCCATTTCCCAAAATCCGACCGTGACTGCAATCATGTCT